CACTTAAGTGCCAGGGAGACTAGAAAATGTAGTATGACTAAAGATACATGAAGTAAACACTGACAGTTTCTGTCACAACTACTATGTGCCCTGCTCTCAAGGAGACAAGTATATGTCCTTTAGTGAAGAGAATAAGGTACCGTACATCCCATAAAGTAGGTATTAAAGTACCTTCGGAAAAAAGAAGCAGCAGCTATATCCACTTGGGGACAAAGGGTGTTGATTGGGGAAGGCTTCACAGAAAAGAGTGATATATGAAGTAAAACTTTCTGGTAGGATTTTTTCAGCAAGAAAGTGAGAATGGGCACCCCAGCAGTAACAGAGTTATAGCAATTCAAACAAAAGGCCCAGCAAGGCTATATTATCTAGATCCTTGGAGTGAAAAAGGGGAAGTTGTGAATGATGAGATTGAAAAGTTACATTGAGATCAGGCTGTGAAGGGCTTTATTTTTTTAGTTTTTTAAATTGATACATAACAGTTGTATGAAGAACTTTAAATGGTATGTGAAGGATTTTAGTTGTGTGTGTTTGTGTGTCTGTGTGTATGTGTACATGTGTGTATGCAGCAGGGTACCTTCAAGTATTTTTAGCAAAGAGCGATATCATATTTGGATTTTAGAAGGGTGCATTTATTTATTTAACAATTATTGAACATCTCTGTGTCCTAAATACTGTGCTTACTGCTAAGGATACAAAACAATGAACACATTCCTTGTTCTGGTGGTAATATGGAGGGTTCATTGGAAGTACTAGGATTCAAAGTACAGAGATTAAATAAGAGCTCCTTTCTTGTTCAAAGTAAAAAGAAATGAGGTCCTGAATGTATTGGCAGTGAAAATGGAAATGAATGAATGGATTCTAGATGTAACTTGTGGAGTTGGATCCAATAGAACTGCTGGTTCCGGTACAATCAGCTGGTATTGCGTGGGGATAAGAGTTGAAGGAAAATGTCACAGAGATTTTCAATCTGAGAGATTAGTTGGCTGGTGAAAATAGGACATATTATGGGAAGAGGATCAGGTTTAAGAGAAAGATTGTGAGTTCAACTGCGGACGTGATTTTGAAATATCTATTGGGCGGTGTCCAGGAAGTAATTGGAAAAGACAGTTCTGATGGTCAGGAAAGGGACCATAGATAGGTTATGGCTATTGATAGACATATGTGTTACAATTTAGACCTAGTGCAGCCCAAGAACAGAACGCCAAGAAGGAAAAGGTGAGCAAAAGAAACAGCAGCCCAAAAAGGCTGACAAAGAATTATCAGAATTAGGGGAGTATTTCCAGAAAGATGTGGTTGATTCACTTTTTTTTTTTTAATTTTATTTATTTTACTTTAGGTGCATACTCTATCTGGCATTTCTCCCCATGTTATGCCTCCCCTCCCTCCCCAGGCCCCGCTGTCTCTCCCCTACCACCCCCCCAACTGCCCCCAGTGTGTGATGCCCCTCTCTTTGAGTCCACGTGTTCTCATTGTTCAGCACCCACCTATGAGTGAGAACATATGGTGTTTGGCTTTCTGTTCTTGTGTCAGTTTGCTGAGAATGATGGTTTCCAGATTCATCCAAGTCCCTACAAAGGACATGAACTCATCATTTTTTATGGCTGTGTAGTATTCCATAGTGTATATGTACCACATTTTCCTTGTCCAATCTATCATTGATGGGCATTTGGGTTGGTTCGAGGTCTTTGCTATTGTACATAGGGCTGCAATGAACGTACATGTGCATATGTCTTTATAGTAAAATGATTTATAGTTCTTTGGGTATATACCCAGTAATGGGATTGCTGGGTCAAATGGAATTTCTATTTCTAGATCCTCGAGAAATCGCCACACTGTTTTTGTTTTTTGTTTTTTTTTAATAGACTGTAACAGGATAAAACTGAGATAACCTAGATTTGGCTCTTAAAGACTTTGGAGCGACCATTGAAAATGCTGTGGGGGCAAAAGCTGGTGGGAACAAGAAAAGGCAGTAGCTTGCTTAAAAGAGGAGTAAATGTTTTACAGGATTTGTGAGACTTGAATTTATTTATAGTCTGTGGGTAGGGAAGAGACAGTTTGAACCTTTAGAAGCAGACAGAATCCTGAAGGATATGAAGAGGAGTATGTTCTGAAGTGCAAATGGATGGGTTTGCTTTCTGAAACAGCCAAAGAAGTAAGGATTGATGAACATAAAAGTTTGGAGTCACATGGAAGTGAGTCTGAGAGAATATAAGGAGTCTGGGGAGCTGGTATGGGGTTATTGCCATATGTAGTGAAGACAGCATGGTAGGTTGTAGGAAATGAGCATGGACACTAACTATGGCTACTGACTAAAGAGGAGCAATATAGAAATATCCATGTTAATTTCTAAAGTATTGTTTTTTTTTTTTAGTAGATACAATAAATAGCATTTATACACTGTTTTGTAGGGAGCCTCTGCAGCAAAAATAGAAAAAAAAAAGGTCAAATGTGTAATAGGTTGTTGCAAAAGTAATTGCGGTTTTTGCTATTTTAATGGCAAAAACTTTTTTAACTTTTGCACCAACCTAATAGTAACAGCTCAGGAAAACAACAGAAGAATTAGGGTGTC